TCTATGAGTTGCTTTAATATCATGCTAAGTGCTCCATATACATGAATTCTCCCAATATTATTATTATCTTTATTTTACATATAAACTGAGGCTCAGCCAGTTTAACTTGCTCAGGTGGGGTTTGATCTTTGACCTAGTGCATGGAGTATTTTAGGCATCTTAGGAAAGGGCCATTTTTTTGTACCATTAAGGAAAGAAGAGATTCAAGCACAAATACAATGTACAGGGGATCAAGAACACACTGGGATAGCTTTGAGGGAGATATAAAACATCTTTCTGTAGGTCACTGAACAAGATAAATTTATTCTCAGATTAGAAGACCTACCAAATTCTCTTCCAATCCTGGATTCTAGGAGTCTATTTGTGCTATGGCACGATTTCCTTACAGAAGCCAATATTTTAAAATGAGAAAAAAAGTGTTCGGTTTCCACTGGGAGCTACCTCAGAGATGAGCAGGAGGAGACAGGAAACCTGTTCCTCTACTTAGAGTCACCCTCATGACCCCTCAGCCCCATGATCCCCTCCTGTGGGCTCCTCACCACTGTCTGTGCCTTTGTTTCTGCTATGCCAACATGTGGAATACGGGAATTGTGGGATATTCCCAGCATATGGGATGGCCTGCTGCCCTCCTCCATTTCAGTGCAAATCCTACACTTCCCATTAAGAAATCCACATCCCACATAAGACCTTCCCGACAAACCCCAACCCGTAATGATCTTACCTGTTCTTTGCAATCTTACATCCCTTCTACTCTTTTGACCCTATTACCTAGCACTTACATGTAGTTTTATATACTTTTCTAGTTGCTTTATGAAAAGTGCTTTCCCAGAAAGTTTATGAGTTTCTTTTTCTATTTCAAAAAATGTGGCACAGAGTAGGTCCTTGTCGTGAACAGGCAACCACTGGCGAGGTCATTGCCATCACAACCTCATTACCTAGAGATGACTCAATGGAGGATGATCTGGAGTTGCTGGTATCAGTAGACATAGAGAGTAACAATGACAACAATGATAGCAAGCCTAACTTAGTTTATGATCTATTTCTAAAGTAAGAGAGCCATGGTCCCAAGAGTTTCCAATGAGAAAGAGGAGGTAGAAACTGAAGTGATGACATAATGTCGTACAATGTGGTCCTGTTGGCACAAGAGGTTGACACTCCTGTGTTCCTGGAGTCCAGGGCCACCCTTCTCTGCTGCTCTGGTCTGAATGAATGCCCCTGCCTACTGTGGCTGTGCCCTTTGACTAGTTCCAGCTCGCCCTGAAGGGACTGTGACATTTTAGTGGTGGGTGAGGCTACTCCTCTGTAAAAAGTGTATCTGTTGGGAATGCGGTTTTTGGAAGAAAGACACTATTTAAAAAGAAGAACACTATTCCTTTGACAGCCCCACAGAATAGGGCAAATGAGTTAGAAACAGCAAACCAGGTCCAAGCTGGTCTCAAGCCCAAGCAGCCCCACATTTCAAGCTGGTCACCGTATTTTGCCATCACCAATCAATCCTACCGTTTTGATAAGAATACCAACTGGCTGTAACACAGTCAAGAAACGCTTTCTTTGGAATATGGAAAAGGAAGTATGACAAGCAGCGGGTTGATTGGAGAAGAGATTCTTTTAAAATGGCTTCTGGAACAACACATTCTGGATGGAAAACTTTCGGTGTCAAATTGTAGGTAAGCATGAAGAGTGTTTTAGGAATGAGCCAACATTTAATGCAGTACAGCTAACAACTTGGCTTCGAGTCTAATGGATACACCCCAGTAGTTATCTACCCAGAACATAAAGAGAGAGGCCCTGCCATAGTGAATTCAGGGGCCTAAAATATACTAGAGACAGGGAAAATAAATGACCATTGGAACCACTAGGGTTTATTAAACTAGAAATTACTCCAAACTGGGCAGTTTTCCAAGGAAGAGACACAGAGGAGAGACTTGCAGGCGTTTCCAGTAGTTTGGACTTGCCCCTGAGGCTGCCAGCATCAGGCCGGTTTCCAGGGGAAAGTTCACACGGCCACCGTTTTGTTTGGGTCTGCCTTGCTATAAACTGCATAAACTTCTGAAATAACCTGATTTCTTTCAGATCACCTCATTTTGCTTCTCTTAAAATAAGATGTTTTGGGGGGCTACGCAGTCAATGTGAAATCTTTCAATCCATCCTCTCTTTGCCCTTATAGAGTTTAGCTGCACAACCGCGTTAAAGTGGAAAATGCGTTGCATTGAAAGAGAACAGGCAATTTTCTTTTTATTTTGACCATTGAAAATAAGAAACTTAGTAATTTTTGAGAATGAGCATAGTTTTTTTAAGGGAGCTTTTACTGCTCTAAAAACGAACACACAAAAATCCCCTTTCTTCTGCTTTAGGAGTCATGTACTTAAGGCCATAGTCTCTGTGCAGGATAGCTAACGTCCCCCCCTCCCCACAAGAGTTAAAAGCTTAGAACAAGAGAGATTAAGTAGTTGCTTTAGGAAGTTTAGGCCTTATGCCATCTGCTCTCTTCACCTATTCCTTTAGTTTCTGTCAGGAATAAAACCTGTTCAGCCAGGGGGAGGGTTTCCAAACTCAAACAACAACATGGTCTCAGAGGGCAGAGCTGGTGAGGGGGAGAGAGGCCTGCCGGTCAGCAGAGCCCCCAGGACTTGCTCTTGTAGGTCATCTGCTGGGCCTGAGTAAACCCCGTGTATTTCTGTGACATGGCAAGTGTCAGGGGACACGTATAGCACTTACACGATTGCTTTTCCAAGGCACAGTGAGAAAGAGCTGTGCTCGACAGTGCGTGCAAAGGGCCGGCGACCTGAGAGACAGGGTAACCAAACTGAGGAATGGAAAAGGTTTCTGAAGGGGACTTAGAAAACGCTCATCAGGAAGTGTGGCAAAAGAGAAATAGGGACAGAATGACTGTCCCAGAAAAGCAATTCCAACACTGTAATGTCTAATTAATTTGGGGAACTTCTCATTTAAACGTAAGAGGATAAGTCACCCGGGCTGGTGTGGCTCGGTTGGGCATGGTTCTGGGCACCAAAAAGGTCACTGGCTCGATTCCAGGTCAGGGCACCTCCCTGGGTTGTGGGTTTGATCCCCAGTAGAGGTTGTGCAGGAGGCAGCCAATCCATGTTCCTCTCTCTCTCCCTCCCCCTCTCTAAAATCAATGAAAACATATTTAAAGAAAATTTAAGAGCATAAGCTAATGTTGACTCTTACTAGGAGAACTCAATGTTTCATCTCCTGGTGATTTGTAAGAACTCTTCAGAGAGGGTAACATGCACAGGAAAAGTCAAAGGAAATTCCCGGTCGAGAGATTCAGCATTTGCCTGGATCATAAAACCCTGCTCCTGGAGACCAGCGAACCTGTTGCCATGGTGAGGAGATTATTCTGGTCTATTCCAATCGGAATCTCATAGGGCTTGAGCTCTGTGGGGAAGAATTACATCCTCCCAGCTCTCTAAGAAAACATATTTTATTTTTCAAAAGACAAATGCCAGAGATAAGAAAAAGAATACCCGTGGGGGGAAAGGGGGGAAGGCTTAAATAGCTGGGTCATCTCATCTACTCAGCCCTGGAGCTGGGAGACAAGTTTTCCTCATGACCAAACCTTTCTAGGCGCTGGGGAAAAATTGTGACAGTTTTCCCCATCCTTTGGAATTCCAACCCAAAGGCTATAAATTAAAACTGCAGACATCAGCCTCTGGTGAGAACAAATGGGGTTGAGCAGCGTCCAGCTTGCACCCCGAAAGCTGGCCTGCGTCTGAGCTGGTGGAAGTTTGGTTTGATCAGCAGGAGCCTTTCTGGTGTGGAATCTAAGAAGGCGGAATCTTCCTGATAGTATTTTATACGCCAAAGGGGAAAATACAATATTCTTTTGAGTTTTCTTTTCTGCTGTTCTTGAGTTAGCAAACATTTATGAGCTTGGCCATTCAATGGTGCTTCTAATTACTCTGAATTTAATTTGATTATGAATGAGTTTTTGTTTGTTTACTTATTTTTAAAATATATTTTTATTGATTTAAGAGAGGAAGGGAGAGGGAGAGAGAGACAGAAACATCAATGATAAGAGAGAATCATCGATTGGCTTCCTTCCGCATCCCCCCTCCACTGGGGATCGAGCCCACAGCCCGGGCATGGGCCCTTGATTGAATTGAACCTGGGACCTTTCAGTCCACAGGCTGATGCTCTATCCACTGAGCAAAACCAGCCAGGGCGAGTTTTTGTTTTTTTAATTAATAAGAAAGCTGCCCTTTTATACATATTATCAAGGATGGAAAGCCAGGTTCTGAGGGCAGCGGTTATTTTCAAATTATATTAACAAGTCTGATGGGGTCCTGAACAAACAGAAAGAAAAAAAAGTTTATGAGAGATTGATTTATTTTTCTATAACACCTGGCCCCCAAAATGTGACAAGTTTTTCTATTTATATTTTATATTAAACCATCTACTAGATTTGAACTATGTCTCCCTGCCCCCCTGAACTCCAAATTCATATGTTGAAATCATGACCCTTACCTAGTCCCTCAGAATGTGATATTATTTGAAAATAGGGTTGTTGCAGGTGTAATTAGTTACGAAGAGGTCCATAGGGTGGGCCCCTAATCCAGTATGATGGGTGTCCTTATAAAAAAGGGAAGATTTGGACACAGTCACGCTCACAGGGAGAGGGCTCTGGGAAGATGAAGGCAGAGATCAGGGGGATGCATCTACCATCCAAGGAACTCCAGAGACTGCTGCGCCACCAGAAGCCAGCAGGAGGCACGGGACAGATTCTCCTTCACAGCCAAAGGAGGAACCAACCCTGCCAACACCTTGGTTTTTGGATTTCTAGCCAGCAAGACTCTGAGACAGTTAATTTCTGTTGTCTAAGCCAATCAGTTTGTGGTACTTTGCTAGGACAGCCCTAGCAAATAAATCCATGTAGAAAGAATTGGTCATTATCAAGCCCTACTTACTTTTTAAAACAGATTCATTCACAATGGAATTATCCCAAAGAGGAAAAAAAAAAAAAGTCTGGTTCTTACCGTCAGATCTTGGGGAACAGAATTTGGCTTCTGTATGTTGATCTCAATGCTATTGCTGCCTTGTTTCAGCTCCACTGGGCACCCGTGCACTCTGGCCACACCTTCGAACATCTGGGATTTGGTTAATGAGGGGACGAGTGCGTCCGTGGGACACTCGTTTTCCTTCTCCACCTCATCACTGTGAACTGTTTCTCCATTCATGCTGACTTTCCCATCTACCTATAAAAACCAGAATGAACAAAAACATGCTATTCCCCAAAGAAAGAGTAACAAAATAACACATCCAGAATCACCTGACAACATTACCATTGATAACCACAGTCCACCAAAGAATAACATCTCTTATATGCTTTGATTGGCTCTGCCAATTAGGGCTTTTATAAATGTTATCTCAGAGGGGTTCTTTAAAAGGTAATTCACCTTCTCAGGCCACTTCACATTAAATTATATTTCAGGTTCACCTAACTTAGGGTGTGCTTTTATTTTAAAGTAAAGAAAATCACAGAAACTTTTGTGTAAACTAGAGGCCCGATGCACGAAATTCATGCTAGGGGCTCGGCCCTCACAACCCTGGCTGCCTCCTGGTCCCGAGGTCCCGAGGCCCTGCCTACTGGTCATTTGGGAAGGTTGTTCCACTATCTGGTCTAATTAGCATATTAGCTTTTTATTATATGTATAAATACATGCCACATATTTGGGTTCCAGTAATTTGTCATTTAAGTTCTGTTATTCGACAATTTTGAGGGTTTTCTTTACTGATTAGCATATAAATTAGGTAGAACCCACCACAGATCAGGACTATTTTACAGGTTATCCTGGGGAGTAGGGGAAAATGGGTACTTTTTTGACACAATCATGGATGGCAGGGAACCTAATGCTTGCTATAGTACAGTAAATCTCTACTTTCAGTTAATTTTATAAGCCCATTTTTTCAAGAAAAACAGCCATGCACATTAAAATATTTTTGTTTTGCACCTGGGTGTAGGGAAGGCAGTGAGAGCAGGAAAGAAGGGGCAGAGAGGTGGTTAGTTGGGCTTGTTGAGAGGCATCTGGGTCTCTGACTTGAGGTTTGAGCCCGTATGTAAAATAACTGTGAGCGGATGCTCTGTAGTTCAAGGGCCTCAGATTACGTGCTGGCTTGACAACCTACCAACCATGTAATCCTCAACCTCAGCCCCTCAGCTGCAAAATTTGCAATAATAGTATCTCCTTGATGGTGCTATTATGGTGATTTTGTGGATTAATCTATGTCCAGAGTTTAGAACCGTACCTGCCCATTTTAAGTATGGAAATCTTAGTCATTATTATTAGTAGGCCTTCTAAAATCTTTCAGAAGGAACAATGAAAGGCCAGATGTTAATTATACTTTATTTATCTAGGCCAGTGGCTTGCATACTCTATTGTCTGTACTCCAAAAGGAAGAACTTTAAATCACAACTAAACACACACAAATACAACTGAAACCAGAGTTCTGCAAAACAATGTTTACCTTTATTATGTGTGATATACTAGGCATTTTTTAAATTGTATTCTATTATACTTCATTTATTTTCAATGTTGATTCCAAACCAATAAATTGGTTTCATAACATAGAAATAGGTGGCAACTTTCAGGCTAAAAAACACTGCCCAGCTGGCGTGGCTCAGTGGTTGAGCATTGACCTATGAACAGGTCATCGGTTTGATTCCCGGTCAGGGCACATGCCCAGGCTGCTGGCTCAATCACCAGTGGGAGGTGTGCAGGAGGCAGCTGATTGATGTTTCTCCCTCTCTCCCTCTCTCTCTAAAATCAATTTAAAAAAAGAAAAGAAAAACACTGCCTTAAACTATTTCACTTAATCTTCCTTTACTCTTCATTCTGTTGTACTGGGAAACTGAGCCTGTATTCCCAACTCTTTATCTCCCCCTGCCCCCCGCCCCCCCCCCCCCACACACACACACAAACACTCACTCACACACATGCACCACTTAGCTTCTGTTCTGGCATTATCTGGTAACAGCTATTTATTTACATATTACCCTTAACCACAAGTGGCTCCACCCACTCAGTGGTGGGGCTGTGAATAAGGCTGAGAGCTGCTAAGGCCTAACAAGCATGTCAAACTCGCATGCAGCCCGCCGGCCGCCAGTTTGACATGCTTGGGATGAGTCAAGGGCTCACATGGTGAAGACTGAGCCCAGCTTTAAGAGGACTTCTACTCAAGTTGCTCCATCCCCCTCTCCATCAGGGCTCTTCCTGAGGCCTCTACCCAGTCTTGCCACAAAGGGAAGGAACTGGGTTTTCTCAGGGCCTAATTCTTCTGTTTAAATGATTATATTGCATTGTTTATATCAGTGAAGAGAAGTGGACATCTACATGACCTGATCATATGCCTTGGAAGTTAAATACGGCTCTCCCTACTCTTGTTCTGAATCACCGCAACATCAAACCTTTCTTCATGAAATATTGAGACAGTACATCATTGGGGGTCCTCGGTGAAGGAGAGCTGGGCCGGGCTTGGGTGAGCTGCCGAGCATATGGGGCTAAGTGCCTATCTGTGCGTGCATGAGTCTTCATGTGAATAACTCATTTTCTCAGGAAAGAAATTCACGTATTTATTCAATAAACACCCGCTGAGTGCCTACTGTGTCCTCCTGGGCACCTATGCCAGGCTCTCAGGACGAAGCTGTGAACAACAGACACAGCCCCAGCCCTTCAAGGGACAAACATCGCAATTCAACCCAGATGAAACAGACTCGACGTTTTCCTCTGTGTCATCAAAGCCGAAGGCACAGGTTTTAAAGAGACATTCTTTAAAGAGTGAGTTAAGCAAAACTCAGGAAGTGTGGTTTGGTCCCCTCTGAAATTCAATAGGAAGAGAGCAAGCAGCACTTTGCTCAATTAGTTTGGTTAAGCAAACTTTCTTCACAGGCACATGCCCATGTCTGCTAGTGATGAATTCCACCGCTGTCTTCGATTACCAACCCATGTGGCGTGCAGGGACAGTGAGAACTGACTTTCCTTTGTAGTCAACAGAGCTTAAGACAAAGGGTGAGTGCCTCCTCATGATGGGAGGGAAAACACTGGAATTTGAGAAAGTGAAAAGATGTCTGCTTGTCATACGTTCTTTGGTTCTGGAACATTATTTTACATATTTGTTGGTAAAAAAAACAAACCAACCAACGACCTAGTTTCTTTCCACTTAAAAATATTTCAAAAACCCATTTCATTCCAGGACTAAGAACATCCCCATATTTCCATGTGTTCCCTGTATTTTTTTTCCAACTGTTGCCATCTTTTTGGATGTAATGTCAATTACTCCCTAAAAGAGATGTAACTGTACACACTTCTATTTAAACGAAGGCAATTAAAATCTTGCTTTGAAGGGTTGGCAATACCTCCAGATAGTTAGAGATACCTAGGGTGTTACTAAACTAGGGCCTGTGAAAGCTAATATAGAGAGACCATGCCATTATATCAAGTTAGGAAATAGACTTTGCTCATGGAAATAACTCAACCATCAATCTCATTGGAGCCCTTCAATATTAACAGCAGGAATTGGGGGGAACCATCTCTCCCTAACCATTTGCAAACCAAACCTCAGAGACACGTAAACGTCACGACTGTAAGTGTGAACACATTTTGCTTTTGTTTGCATTTTCTTTTGCAGACGGAAGAAAATAACTGCATTTTCCTGAGGCAAGAGGCTTCTTTCCACCTACTACCTGGAGTGCAGCGTGGGTTCTGCTCGTCAGGGACTCACCCTACCTTAAAGGTCTTCAGAACCTCCTGAGAGCTCTTGGGCTGGGAGTAAGGCTTGGGTGTCAGCATAGGCACTGCTTTGGGAGCGACAGTTTTGCTTGGAGACCCACTGCCTGCTGACATGCTGGCATCCAGAATGCTGGTACGAGCGATGGTGGTTTCCACAGTGGCAGTGAATTTGGGGGGAGGCAGTGACTGCTGCCGCAGGTATTTCATGGGGTTGGGGTCATTCAGGTAGGGGGAGAAGTTTGGCTCCGTTGAATGGCTTCTTTCCAGGATTTTTGGCATCTCCAAGCGTTCCAGGACAGCCTCGCTGATGGTGAACCTCTCGATGTACTGCTGCAGGATCCCCTCCGCCTCCTCCTGGGACCGCGCGTTCTTATAGGCCTCGTGCAGCTCCCTCTCTCTCCGCTCTCTGCAGCATGGGCATGGGAGAGAGAAGCAATACAGAGGTCAAGGACAGTCACAAAAACTGCAGGGAGCTGCAGAGACAGCACAGGAGCCTCTGTGATAACCAACAATTTTTAGCAAAAACACATCTAGATAATATTGTACGTTCAACAACAACAACAACAGAAAGGACCCACTTTTCTTGAACAATTTCTCTGTAGGTTTTGATGCTTTTCCTCCGTTCACTTGTCCCATCCTCTCCAGCCATTAATTTCTCCATTTTTTTCCTTTCTTCCTCTTTCTTGATTAAGTCCTGAGAAGCACTTCTTCTACGGCTCTTCCACCGAGCCAGGTCCTGTGGGGGTGGGTTTGGCGGAGATAAAACATATTTTTCAGGCCTTTAAAATTCCATTTCTACTTTTCAGAGTTTAGTGGGCACTGACTAAGGGCCAGGCACCATGCTAGGGCATTCCCACCCAATCCAGTGGAGGTCTGGTTGGAATAGGAATACCCCGAAGGCAGGACGCCTCCCAGAGCAGGGCAGCACGTTTATTTAAACATGGCAATGTGAAATCTGCAATCATATCCCATGGCAGTTTCCAAACTTTAAAGTATTGCCTCACAGGGGATTGTAAAAAACGTCATTTCTTGCTTTTTATGATTTCTGCATTGTGAGTGGACTTGTTGACAGTACAATGGTAGGAATTAACCACAGACCTACACTATGCCCTCAGGGAAGAATGAAAAGGCAGGAAAAAAATCAGCTTTGGGGTCTCACAGAAACTCTGATTCTGCATGTATTAATTTTTCTGATCCTTATAACAACCTCACCACAAAGCCTACAGGCAATTACAGCCTAAGGACGATGAGTTACAATTCTGGAGTCAGATGGATGGGACTGCAGCTCGGGACATGATCCCAGCTCTCCCTCTTCCATGCTTTGGAATCACACTTCTCAGCCTCTCTGCACCTCAGTTTCCTCATCTCTAAAACAGGGATGATATTAACACCTACTCTTATGAGCTTATTGTGAGAGTTAAATGAGACAGTGCATATAAGGTACCAGGCACATAGGAAGTGCTCAATACACTGTAGACACAATTATCATGACAATTAATTGACTAATGGTAGAGTCAGGTGTGCAACCGCTATCTTGGAGTGCTCTGTGAGGGCTGAATGAAATACTCCACTCTCCCTCCCCTCATCCCTACCTTTAAGTTCTTCCCCGACAAGCTCAAGGCCGCCGACAGACTCCGCAGCCCTCCTTCCCTAGCTCTCTCACTCACTAGCTGTGTGACTTTGGGCAAGTTACTCAGCTGTCCTGGGACTCATCTGTGGAATTGAGGACGATGGTAATAGTTGCTGGCTCATCAAGTTACTAAGAGGATTAAAGAATTATTACATGCACAGCACTTAGAATAGTGCCTGTTACTGATACGCTTTCAATGTTGGTAATTATCGTTTTCATCATCATCAATATCAAATATATAATCTCAAAAGACGTGCCTACTCAGTTCTACATCTCGAGTCAGTTGCTTCCTGCGGGTTCGCCGCTCCTGTGTGGCCATCCTTCTCCCTAGGATACTTGCGGATTATTTGTCTGTCATTCACTCCTCACCCTTCATGTTGCTATTTTAACCTTCCTTTAATGCCCGCATTTACAGTGTCCCTGTTTGAAATCCTCTAGATGCTCCCTTCCCCTGCATGGCTTTCAAATCCAGGCCTACCCACCCCACCGGATTTTCTGCTTCAAAGGGCCCCTAACCCACAGCGCTGGGCAGCCTCCCGCGGCCCGCCCCTCCGGCACTCACATCTTGCCATTTGTCGTCCTCTTCCCGCAGCTGGCTGTTGATCAGCTGCAGCTGCTCCTGGCGGGCCCTGCTGTGCGGCTGCACCGCACCCCTCCTCCTCACACCGCATGTCAAACATACTCGTGCTCCTGAGTGTAGAGAGAGCGAGACAAAAATGGACCGGGATCAGCGCCATCGGCTCTGCGCGTTCTGGGCCGCTCCGCCGCGTGGGGGCGCTACCGCGCTCGCTCGGAAAACTGTCCCTCGCCCTCAGCCAGCAGCGTGCACGCCAGCGCCCCCACCGCTTCTCCTGTTGCCGCAAAAGCCAAACTGTGAGCATCTTTGTCTTCAGGGGTCAATATAATTATACAAGTAGGTGCCAAAGCATGTTTAAAGAAGAGCTAGAAAAGGTATACGAAGCTCCGGGTTTCTCTCATTTGGAAATGTATTAGGAAAAAAAAAAAGAGAGAATGGAAAGGTTTAGCTTGGGGAGTTTGTGGAGAAGGAGGGTGGCGTTCCACCAGGAGAAACGTCATTACAGTACATGCTCTTTGTGTAAAGACCTGGCTTAAATGCTTTCTACATGAACTGAGGCAATCTCCCCATTAAAAAAAATCACACGGCCTTAAGTCTAAGACACCCATCTTTTCATACTGCACTAGGTTATGAATTGTGGATGCATCCAACAACTGCGCATTAGTGATGCATGTGTGTTTGATGTGGTTATTTCTACTTTCTATAAATCTGTAAGTTGATAGTGCAGTTGATGGAATCTTGGAATCAAGAAAATAAGGTATTTTATATTAAGATTAAGGAATAAAATATATAAATCACTATATACTTTGTATCCTAAGATTCTCAGAATCATTTTACTTCATTTTTGTCAGGATACCTCTGAATTTACTCTTTCAAAAGAAAAAATATAGGGAAAAACATTTAAAACCCTAATGTATTCTATAGGCGCTTATGAAATGGTAAGCTAGACCCTGAGGTCTTTCCTGTAATGCTTACATGGAGCTTTGTTCCAGCAGAAGCTTAAGCAGCAAGATGGAAACAGAAATAAAAACCAAAGCAAAGTCCTCCCTCCTCTTTCTTTTTCCCTCTCAGAGAAACGAGGAGCTCTGGGACCACGTGGGTTCCACAGTCCCCAAATCCAGAAATGGAGGGCCCTTTAAAGTTCACTCGAAGAACAGGAGACCGTGATAGTCCATTGTTGAAGCCAGAGTAACACAAAGAAGAAGAAAAGCCATGCATTTAGACCCCAACTAATTCCAGGCATCATCAGTGATGTCCAAAATAGTTTTCGCCAGGGCCAGGCAATGAGCAGGCAGCATCGCCGGATGCCCGGGTTCCTCAGCAGGCAGCGCTCTGGGGGGGAACGTGACCCCCAATGCAGTGACTGCCCAGCTGCACTTCAAGCCACTCAAAATGCATCTGCACAATGAATCTCTCTCGATGTTGGACGATTCAAATCTGACCTAGGAGAGCTAAAACTGAAGATGTACTTATAATCTGTCTTCCCCAAGAGTATCCTAATAATCTGACCACAGAGAACTTTTATCTGAGCTCAGATGTGACAAACCACCTTGTGGAGCCGCCCCCACATGTCAGTGGATAGTGTTGATTGTGGGAGCCACGCCTTCCAGATAAGCTGGAGTCCTCCAGAGGTAGGAGGGACTGCGAGTGTCCCCTTATTTATTTATGTTTAGGAAAGATTTAGAAATTTGCAGAGTTAGGTAGAAAAGTAGGACCCATATTTTTTTGAACTTCATGGACCAAAATTCACTTAAGGTAGGCTTTCAGAAAGAGACCGGAATTCATCCCATTCCTCCTCTCAGAGTTAAAAAAAAAATAAATCTTACCTTTAAATATATTCGATTTAGTCAGTTCATCTTTTAAGGCAATTCAGTGTTTGTGAAGATCTTAGCAGATAAAAATCTCTCTGAGCTGGGACGCTCTTGTAATCTATTCAGTAGTTGGCAGATTGTGGGAGGGAAAGTCGGTCCCTTCCTTTGACTTTGTCATTTATATAATTTCTAAAGGGCAGAATTTTGGTTTAGGCCACAATATGTGGCCATACAGCCAGGTCTTCTTCTGGGAACCCAGGGAAAATATGGTAGCCGTCGCCAAGACTGGGAATCGCCTACCTCACATGACAGACAGAGAGATTCAAGAGCGAGGCCTTCAGCTCTGACTTCTGTCCGGGTTTCTACCTCTGTCCTATCATGAAGTTCTAACTGCCTCAGCCCAAATGTGGCCAAAAGCTGGTTAGTGAAATTAAAGGAGAAACTTCTGTTTGCCCTCTTCTATGCCAGGAAGCAGTATTTTTCCCAGACTTGTTTTGTTTTTTAAAGAAATACCAGCAAACTGGCCAAAAAGGAAACAGCAAAACTATGAGCAATGTCTTTAGGACATTTAAAAAAAAAAAAGGAACTAAGCAAGTTGAGAATTGAAAATATTAGACAGAAAATAGGCTGAGTCACCATTCAGAAAATGCTCCCTAGTTTAGAAGTCGGACTTAGCCTCCAAAATGCAGAAGGGTGTATCTAAGGATGGGGTGGGGGACCCTGATGAAGCCCAGGTTCCAGAACATGAATGTGACTTGCACTAAACTTGTGCTTCTTCACACAATAAGCCGTGGGCTGTGGTGACAAGGGACCCTGGCTGCAGAGCTTGGGAGTCTCTCTTGGTGGTGGGCTGGCATTTGGGGGGGGAGGGGGGCGGGGCAGGATTAAATTGCCTCAAAGGGAGCTGGGAAATTGTTTCAGGGCCAAGTCCAAGGTAAGGGAATTAAGAGTAAGATGGCCTGTGGCTCTCACAGCGCAGTTCTCTGCTGGTGGGGAGTGTGTTGGGGGAGGAGGAGGAAAAGGGCAAGAAGGTGAAACTAAATAGACGGAAACATTCCTGGCTTGCCAGGCGGCGGAAATTTCTGTTTGCCTGTGTGGTGGGTCTGCCCCTGACCTGGGTTTTCCTGAGGGCACATCTTTTTTTGATTGGGCTGTATTTTAAGAATGTGTCAATTATGAATAAGTAGAGCCCGTGCCAATATTGCCCTTACATTTTTGAAAAGGGGAGATAGTGAGGTATTAAAGGAAACAGTATGACGTTCTCTTTAAAAAATAAAATCCCCATATAAACTTTTCATTTTGTTCCTCACGTGGCTTCACGTGAATGGTGTCTACTCCAAGAAGGAAAGTTGGTACGTCTGATAGTCCTAGATAAGCCGTCTGGAAAAGAAGCTCCGTTTACCCTTCTTATTCCATAAGGCTGCTCCCTGTAAATTTAGAGAAGGAGAGAAGGGAGTCTCCAACCCCGCCCCTCTACAAAAGTCATTAACTTCTGTGGGTGAGCTGTCCTATTCAGGGGCAGGCAAAATCCAAGAGCTCTTTAATAGGGCTCTTTTCTTTCACCTTTAGGATTTCCCAGAGATCTCGCTCAGGCAAGTTGCACGGTGTCTTTGCACTGACGAAGAATAAATCCATTCTATCAAAATATTTTTTTCTACCAATTCAGAGTCATGCTGTGCCCATCAATCTTATGTAATCCTCCTTTCAGTGACTGGTAAATATTGCCACTGCAGATTTTAAGAGTAATAACCAGGGCTTAATTTTATAGACGACTTAACTCCATGCCATCAGCCAAGCTCAGGCTGGATTTAGGTTCGGTTGTGAGACGTGAATGCTGCGTATGTCAGGCCACAAAGCAATGAGAGATCACACGTTGGAAAGTGACATCCGTGGTGCTGGAGGCAGACTGCTTGGGGCTGACAGGACAAACCAAGCTGACAGCTTGAGCACGAAAACGGAAAAAGCACGACTGGGAAACGGTAAATTTGGGCGAACTCTCCTTGTCACTGGTGGAGAGGACAGTTCTGTGTGTGTCCCACACCGTCATTGGCTTCCTCACTATGGGACTCAGAGCAGGAAAAAGGCCTCTCAAAAGGAAAGACATCAGGCGACTGAGGGTGGAATTACGTATTAATCCTGTTTTCTAAAATGCAAGTTACTCCAATCTGAGGAAGCTAGTATTCTGCTAAGAAAACTTGCGCCTTGGATGTTCGTTTCAGAATTTTCTGTGTATGTTAAATCCATTTTGGAAATGGAGTCAATGTGGTCCCAAATGGGAGAATGCAGATTCTTCTAAAATGTGGAGGGAGGCAAAGATGGGCAGTGGATCTCTGAGGTCTCTGAGAGGAGGGGACGCAGGGAGAGGAAGCCCGAGTCCTGTTTTAAATCTTGAGTCCTTGCTATGCCACGGAACCTGCCCGACATCTCAACATTTATATTACTGCAACCTGGGAGGAACTTGGGCTTCTGAATCCGTAATTAGTGGTTTAGGATTTATTTTCTTAGTTTAAGAAAATGCTGTGGCCACGGGAACGACTGCTTCATTGTTAACTCCAAGCCCTAACATACCAAAACTTAAATTCAAATGCAGAATTCTGCTTTAATAATCCCCTGGTTCAGAAAGGGTACCAACATCCAAATGGTAACAAGCACAACTTTAACATGCCCCGTCTATGAAAAGCAAATGTTAAGTTTTAGGCAGCAGCTGCATATTAGAATCATGCTTTAGTTGCTTTTTCATTCATCTCTCCTGCACAGAACATATGTTCTGCATTCCAACTTCAAGTGCTTTTTGAGGCTGCACGAGTCGGTTAGCTATTCGGTTCACGGTTGCACCAATTGCATTTCCATTAGTGGTAAGTACGGAAGGCATGCAGTTTAGGCTAGTAATTAATGTATTCCTGTGAATACAAGACAACTTACTCTGCGTCATCAGACACAGGAGTTCTCGGACCGTATCTATAAGACCAAATACAAAATTAGAGGATTGAAAAGACAAGGTTAACGCTGTAACCGAGCTGAAAAGAAAAACTGCTGGTGAAATGTTAAGTGTGCCAAACGTTCCCCCCCCCCCCCCGATTATAATGGAAGAAAAGTGTCATTATACAATTAATGATGTTCATTAACTTCTGCAAATGAAAGGAGCATCTTGACAGTTCTAAAGAATGCAAAATGTGTATTAAAACACAGAGGAGAAATGAAAGGAATCCCCATGCTACCCACACAAAAACAAATCTGTTCAATATAAACACAAAAGGCTTACTTAGGTGCAACCCACAATGTTTAGAGAAGGCAGCTTTTAAACACTCAAACCTGCATTAGGGTTGTTCACAAACAGTTAAGCTGTTCATGCCGTATGTTCAGCCCTAGTGAGCTGTAATGGACACCCAACATAGAAGCATGTGCTTACTGGCCCTGTCCCTGACGTGTTAATGCATTTGCACAAATGACATCAAAGAGCCTTTCTGCAGTTTTCTGAAAGCAAACCAGGACTCCAACCAGAACCCAAATCAGTGCCTTCTGCATGCATTTGACAAAAACCACAATTCCTAGAAAACGGGCAGCCTTAATCCAAACCAGACTTGGATATTCCATCACTTGAAACACCAAAGTGTTTTTTACAATCTTTGATAGTCTTCTGATTATTTTGATCTACAAAGAGGTACCCTCTGTGATAAAGACACTTTAAGTTTTAATGTGTCTGATAAAGCAAAGGGAAAGGTCAAGTTAGAAAACAAAATTAGAACTTCAGAAGGGCATATTTTAAGCACTTTTTAAAGATGCAGCTCCCACCGGGGCTGTCTCCTCTGCAAAGGGGATTTTAAGAGAAGGTTCTTTCTTATGCTCTGAAAGGCTGTTCCACTCTGCATTCTGATGGTGGATAAAGAGTTATTTAAGTAAAGAAAAACTTCCTGCTTTCAGTTTCCAATAAATTCAATTGTGGGGTTTTCAGCAAAAATTACCAGATCCCATGCTTCAGTTTCATAACAGTTTACTACAGGGTAAAAAGTAATTTCTAAAGACCTCTTCCTATAACCTTAGAGAAAACATCCCAGAATACATGGGTATGCACACACAAACACCCTTCTCTCTTATGCTTTTATCACTCTTGAAGTTTTCATTCAATGACAACTATTTTCATTCATAGTGAAGGCAACCACACCAATGCAAAACCCAAAGTATCTGTTGTCCCAGCAAAAAACAAGACAGGGAAAGGGTTTGTGGATGTTTCTCTTCTGGTAGTATGATTCCATTTCTCCAGGGGGTAGTTTTAAAAGGTGCTAAAATCTAACCTAATACACTTAGTTTTCCAAAAACAGTACGACACTGAAGCAGATGACCGGTTGGATTTCTGCACATCGAGAGAATGAATAAGCAGCGTTAATTCTGAAGACTAGATACATGTTTCCCATGGAATTAATAGGCCTATTGCAATAGACTTATTCAAATACTAGAGGCCCAGCACACAAAATCGTGTGCAGGTAGGGTCCGTAGGCCTTGTCTGTGGTCAGGGCCATCTTCTGCCCGCTTGCCAGTCCCCAGTCCTGCCCCGCCACCACCCCCCGGTTCGCTGTGGTTCCCCGATCACAGCATGGCTCTGGTTCCCCGGAGCCCGTGGGCTGGAGGGAGAGACAAAAAGGTCGGCCATTCTTCCCACTTGTCAGTCCTGCCTCCTACTCACTTCGGTTTGCCATGGTTCCCTGTACGCCATGTTGTGATCAGTATGCTGTGACTGGAGCCTGCAGGCCAGGGGAGGGACTAAGAGGTCGGCCGTTCCTTCCACTCACCAGTCCTGCCCCTTCGGTTCACAGTGGTTCCCCATTTGTCATGCTGTGATCAGACCCTGCAGGCCAGGGGGGAGGGACTGAGAGGTGGTCAATGCACCTCACGGTGACTGGTCGAGTGGTCATTCTGCTCGTTATGCTTATGATCACTGGCCTTTTATTATATAGGATAGTGTTTTCTCAATTATATATGGGGAAGAGCTGAGAATGTATTCCTAACAGATGGTTAATCTAGAAATAACCAATAATAGTTGGTTATGTATTTTTGTGTCTCTATTTGAATGTTTCTGTTAATGTTTGATTGAAGTATAACATACATACAGAAAGTACACATACCGTACACATACCATACACCTCAATGATTTTTCACAAACCGAGCATACCCGAACACCAGTGTTGAATGTCTTGTGAATGGGCCCATACAGTATGTGCTCCTTTGAGTTTGGCTTCTTTAGCATATTTTATTAGAGGTTCAGCTATGTGGTTGCTGCAGGATATATTTGAATTTAAATGGCTTCTACACAAAACACAGCATTTCATGACATCTCTGCCCACAAACGCAATGTACACTAAAATGTAAGATCCATAAGAGCAGGGGTTTTTCTCTTGGGGTTCCCTGAGGAGTGACCAGACTAGGCCCCCGATAAGTGTTTGTTGACTATGTATTGGATGGTCTGGAAATTGAAAAGAATAGCATAGTCTCCGAAGATAAACTTATTTTTTCCCTTTACTATCCACTGTGGATTTAAGGAATTTCCTCTTAGACTAATTTATCAGCTTTAGTGGACATGGATTTAAGCAGAACTGCCTTTGCTATTAAGCAGAAGATAATTAGAGCTTGGGCTCGAAATGGCTTTCCCAGTTGTCCTATGGGAAATGTAAATGTAAACGTAGGTTAAAAAATAATAAAGAGATTTTTTAAAATGCAAAGTAGGTGAGTCAATAGGCTATGAGGTACAAAATTGGCCCGATAAATCACAGTTGGTATAAGCATCCTAAAAAAAAAAAAAGCAACTAATAAAGTTTCATTGTGAGGGTTGGGGTACTTAGAAAGATAAATGAAATATTCTATGTACCTATTGATTGCATTTGTGTAACTTTCAGAATTAATAAAGCCCTTCAGAATTAATAATTGGCGGTTATATATTTCCATATTGTGAACTAACACACGCTTCATTTGAAGTGAGAGGGAAAAATGGGTTTCTGCTCATTTAAGATTATCCCCCAGCACCCAGCACAGTGTAGTTTACAGACAGCAATTACTCAATAAATGTGCTGTAAGGACAATGAATTCCCAAGGGAATTTGTCAGACTCTGGTGCATTGGTGCTGGAGTGTGACGGGACTCTCCACTCGGAAAGAGCTGGGTTTGAATCTTGGATCTGTAATTACCAGCTGTGCAGACATGGGGTCAGGTTCCTCACTGCAGGATGCAGATGAAAATTCTTACTTTCAAAGGTTATGCGAGTAGTAAACGGGAAAGTACCTAGAATGCAGGCAGCTGTAGACCTCCCTCCCTTCCTTTCATTCTGACTTGCTTTACAGTAGCCCACGGATCCAGGGCCAGGCTATAACAGGGCACCTACAAAGTGAGTGACTGGTGGACCAGTCTTAACCAGCCCTAACCATTCGACATCCAAGTGAAAGCCACTCACTTACCTTCCCTCTACATCAGGCATGGAGCTAACATCCATTCAGTCTACCCGTGAATTCTCAGAAGGTGAGCTAGAGGGAGCAGACACACCTCGCAAAGGCTACACAGTACTCTCCAGCCATCAAGCAGGGCACAAGTATTACCCCTGCTCCCTGAAGCCAGTGTGGTAATAAGGCTGTACTAGAGTATTATTATTGCAACTCAAAAGAATGAATTATAATAAAACAGATGAAATCCCGTTGGCAAAGATGGCTAGGATATTAATTTTAAAATTTTAGGAATACTTAGGGTTCTCCCTGCTCCCCATTGCACCCTCTAGCCCACTGCCATTAAGGTTTTATAGTGGAACTTACAATTATGCTAAATACCCCCACTGCTTTGCCCTGCACTGATCAGACGGTCCACAGATCTATTACTCTGGTTAAATAGCAACAGAAGCTTCAACCTCTAGGACAGTGGTTCTCAACCTTCCTAATGCCTCGACCCTTTAATACAGTTCCTCATGTTGTGGTGACCCCCAACCATAAAATTATTTTCGTTGCTACTTCATAACTGTAATTTTGCTACTGTTATGAATCATAATATTAATATCTGATATGCAGGGTGTATTTTCATTGTTACAAATTGAACATAATTAAAGCATAGTGATTAATCACAAAAACAATATGTAATTATATATGTGTTTTCTGATGGTCTTAGGTGACCCCTGTGAAAGGGTCGTTCAGCCCACAAAGGGGTTGCGACCCACAGGTTGAGAACCGCTGCTCTAGGACCTTAAACCAGACCATGAACCCAGGTTTATTACTTCCCAACTCTTCACTTTAAATCAAGTTACAACACAGCACAGAAGTGCCACGTCTAGAAAACACTGTTTCCTAATGTTGAAATTAACTCACAGATTTTATAAGTGGCATGCATCCTCTTTGGGCTGGAAGACCCTCTTAGAATCAGAGTGAAATCAAATAGATCAGAAAGAGGCTCAGCCCCTTTACCCAAAAGTTCTTATGTGAGCTGGGAAGAAACAAAAGAGCTTCTCGTGTAGGGTGCACACAGATGAGAGTAAAAAAGAAAGTTTAACAGAAAAACTCACAACAGAACTATTCTTTCCACACCTGCTTACATGCAAAAAAAAAAAAAAAAAAAAAGGAACAGACTGGGCCAGTTTTTTATCACTGCGTTGCTGAAAGCAGTAGCAAGTAAGTGGCATTGATGTACCATAACACATTAATAAACATATTCAAAGCATGTATCAAGGCTCAGAAGGGAGAAAGAAAGACAAAGTCACAAGAAACAGGGCACAGAATAACCTTCTGACCTCTTATCTTGGCAGATTCCTCCACTTCCTGCTGCTTTGCAAATGGAACCGGAAGGAACTGGTTTGGGTTGGAGCCACTGTGTCTAAGAGACATCCCAGTTCTCCTGGCCATCATGTCATCTTTTTGGGAATCATGCAGCTTTCTTTGTTTTTTCAGTCCACTGCCACTCCAGGCAGGAGCTGTCATCTTCTCTGAGCTCAGCTCTCTTCTCTCCCCGAAGCCTCACATTCAGAGGCCAGAGGACACGAACTAGGGCAACATTCAGTCCAGCCAGTCAAAGTCCACTTATTGCTAAAGATACGTTCAGTAGCATCACTCACTGGGCGTTAACTCAAGACAGAAGGAGCCAATGTCCACAGAGACAGCAGCACGCACAGCCACTGAGGATTAACACCGTGGGCCTCCACCATGCAACTGGTACTCACATGGGAAGGGGTTTCCCTTCCTGGTTTTCATAAATTCTGAGAAGAAAATCTGGCCAGTGTCCAACCACATGCAAAGGCTACAGTCTCTACCCAGAGGGGGCACTGGAAGCGGAACTGTGACCCTGGGAGGGGCGCATTCCTTTCAGCGACTCAACTCCACATCACATCAGTCACCAAGTGCATCCTGTGGCTCTAAGCTGCTTTTTGGGAACACAAAAGCCACACACAGCAGAGGCAGCACACCCTGGAATGCAGGCAAGGCGCTCACAGTGGCTGGCTGCTCTCTTCGCATCTTTCAGCCTTTGGCGGCATCTCAGAATCTCTTTGAGCAACTCCTCTCTCTTCTTTGCCATCCTGTGGCAGCTGTTTGGATGTAACTAAAGCCAAAGAGGACAGCTTTACTACGAGGAAAGAATTCACACCAGAGGCCTCGACCCCACCTGTCATCCTTCACCTCCCAGGGAGGGAAGAATCGTGGCTCCTCACCTTCCTCTGTCCTCGTTGGGCACGCGCCCAAACTGCTGACATGCTCCTCCTGGGACTCCAGCACGGGAGCCAGCTGCGAGACCCCTCTGCAATAGTCATCTATGCCAGAATTCACTATTCTGCTGATAATCAAGTGGCATTGGTGTCAAGAGAGAAGAGGAAAAAGTCATGAAAGGAGACAATGAAAGCCGTTGGGACGAAAGATTAAGAGAGTTCAGTTGATCTCATTCCAAAAGCCAGTTAGTAAAGATGACATTATGCAAATTGAGATAATGCAATGTGGACGCTGGCAAGGGTCTAAGAAAAGCCTAAGGGGGTTGAGTGACGGCCCTTCAGTAGTCAAGGACTCAAAGATGAATTTCTCATTAATTCCTAACGCCCACTCTTCCATCCCAGGTCGCCCTCAGTTTCTGAAACCCCAACTGTGTGTTCTGGTTGGTTATTTTGTCCTAAAGCCTGTTCTCCTCCACGGTGTCACCCACAGTATGGAACCAAAGAAACCCCTCTGTCTGTCAAGGATCATCTACTACAAGCATGTCAAACTCAAAGGCTGACACAGGCCAAATAAACAAGGTTTAGGTTTCTGTGGGCCGCAAAAAAACAAAAGCTTCAATTTTCATAGAAACATAGGTTTATTTAGATAGAGACATGCTGAATACAAAGGGCTGAAATAAATGAGTAATTGTTAACATGAAATAACAAAACATTTTAATAAAAATTAATATTTTTTTGAACAATAACTTATCAGGCATTGAATAACTGCACAAATTAATAAGTGTAATGCAAATAAACCTATTTTTCCTGTTCTCCGAAAGCGAAATATTTCCTGTTGCGCATGCCAAACATGTCAGTCTAAGACGAATGACGTGGCAATCGGCTGCTAAAATATTCGATAGAAATGGTGCACCTGCGTGTAAGGTGCATAAGGGAAATGAATGCAACACGATTATAGCAATCAGTCATTAGCAAACATTGTCGTTCAGTATTAATAATTATGTATAAAAGGACATTGTAAAAATTAAGTTACAAGATTGTTATTAAAACATTTCTTAAATACCATTATATTGGCTGGGCCTCAAAAATATTCGTTGTGGGCCACGTGCGGCCTGTGGGCCACGAGTTTGACATGCTTGATCTACTATTTCCTTTGGATTTCAAGGACCGAGGAGAATGTCTTGAGCATTTCCTCCTGCCATGCAGAGCTTCACTGTGCTCCTATCATGCAGGTGGAATGCGGTTCCCAGGAGATCAAGAATCTTATAAGTGTCCCCTACCTGCTTAATGGAAGAGAGGCCAGCGCACAGAACTGAATCCCCAAAAGAGGGCTTGGGAATTTAAAGCTGGAAGGCCTCCAGTGGAGACGAGAGCTGGGAACAGGCCTACAATCGATTTTCCCAGGTGGTCCCTCACAAATTTGGATGGTGATGCATCCAAAGAAATGCGTGACCCATAGGAACCCCCAAGAGAGGAGTCTTTTTTCACTCAAGACTTATCGCGTAGTGTTTTTGAGCAGGGGAGGGAGGAGACCTTTACGTTTTTTGTGTGTCTACTTAGATGTCCAAATTTTGAACTTATGATACTGATAACTATTTTTTCCTCCCTCTTGGGGCAAGCAAAGAGGGAAGTTATAGGTAACCTGATTTTTATCAATACATGTTTAGAAGAAACCCCAGGGATATCATTAAAACATTCCATGTGGTTCATTCAGCATTTCCAACTAATAAAATAGTGCTTAATGCAGCTGAAGGAACAGGGTCATTTGCCAAGATTATTGACATTCCCGGGCCATGATTCTGGTGACAACAGAATCAAAATGAACGCCTGCCATTTAACTTCACACACACGCTTCTCCCCGGGGTGACACGCTAACATTACTTTTCTGCTAACCAGCAAAAAGCCTGTTGGAACTATGTTGTCTCTGGAGGTTTCTTTAATGTGCTTCAGCAAGCCCTCTAAAAGCAGCAGTGACTCCCATGCAGATCGCCTTGCACATGTTTGATGAAAAGTACCTGCAGTCCTTTTGTGGATTGAGCATTTGGTCTTCCTCTGGGCTGGGCGTGGCCGCTGAGGCTGGGGACACAGAGCCCGTTTGACCCTGGCGGCTGTGACTGATGACTTCTTCTACCTCCTCCCTAGGCCCGGCCTTGCCAATGCTGAGCCGCTTCCATTTCTGCTGATCTATCTCTGTCACTGGTCCAAAGTGCACAAACTTTTGCTTGGGGCCGGAAGCTTTCTTATAGGCCCTTGCTTTGCGGCTGGCAAAGTCATCCCGGATGGCAGTTTCTGCTGTGATTTCCGGTGAAGGCTCAGGGGCACAGAGGTGCTCAACATCCTCATCCCTAGTCAGAACCGGAAATAAGTTCTAAAGCTTTCTAAGGCAAGTACAAGTCAATAAGAGGTGGTTGTTATTGGGTTTTTTTTAAAGTACTAGATATATGAAAAATACTTCTCTGGCTAGAGCAGAATTATGTTTCCATTAGTCAATCAAATGAAAAAAATGATCCCTGTCTTGTTTAGATAAATAGGGCTTTAAGTATCTATCACTTTCAAAACATCACTTCCAACATCATAATTGATGGCATGAGGAAATCTTAGGGATGATGAAATAGTCAAGTTATTAAAAAATCAAGTTTAAATTCCTTATAGCCTATCAAAATAACCGCTTGCAATAAGTTGGTTGAATTAAGGAGGTTTTCCATCCATGAGGCTTGCAACTTTTTGTATTAATAAGTTTCATCTCATGCAGAATATACTCTGTGTTGTGAGAGGCATTCAGTATTTCCAGCCAGGAAAATAAAAATATGATAGAAGGATAAGCATTCAACTCCTTCAAAGTTCAACAACAGCACCGCCAGGGGAAAACCAAGGAAAACACAACACACCTCGTCTTGCCTGACACTTTCAGTCTCTCCCATGTCTCCAAGTCGGCTTCTGTTATAGTGGAGACACTGACAAAGCTCGGAGCCTCGCGGTGAGGGGCCAGCCTGCCCTGAATTCTCCGCTGGGCCAGGTCGTCCTTGTAAATATCCGGCACTTTCCTGAGTCCCTCTTCCGCACGTTCACTCCCCTGAGCCCGCATAGCACAGGTCACTCCCGACGTCAGCTCTTCTGTCTGACCCTGGTTTCTGTCAGTTTGATCCAGGCCCCCACATCATCGGAAAAATAAAGTTCAAGGAAGGGGAGCAGACAAACAGATTGTCAAGCGTGGAAATTCAGAGGCTGAACAAAATGATGGAAGAAGCTTTCCCTTTCTTAAAAACTACGGATTCAACTGGAGCCTTGATTACTTTCGCCTACCTTGCCCTTTTGACTCTGTAATGAGAAGGAAATTTTCCCACCAGATGACGATCTCTAGTTTAGTTTAGGAAGAGAAGCCAGGGCTCGCTGGAAGACTACTAAGGGCGGTAATGAGATTTTGGTTTGTCAGTCGTGATGTCCAATTCCCACGCTATCCAAGTTACCGTAATGAAGTCAAGTTTTCTGATGGAATGAATCCCTGAGACCTCTTAGACTATCTTTTACTGCACCAGTAAAATGTTAGTAAGGAGCTCTGCATGATCCAAATTTTAGCATTAGTTTGGAGGTAGCTGGAATGTTGTTCACATACTAAAACATCTCAACCACAAACCCACAACTGCCAGAAAGCGTGTTTTAGTCCATTCTGACCAGAAAGTTTCCATGTTCAAACTCAGTCTCTGCTTCCTGATAGCATTAGTTGGGTTTGGCTAACATCAACTTGAACAAATAGAGTGTATCCTCTTTTCCTTGATCTATGATGTTAATACCCATTTCTTTCATGTGTTAATAACTGTTTGCTTTTACTATTAATGCTAAAACTGAGAGTTTCAATTGTTCTCCTAGGAAGTGAACATTAGATGTCTGATGTTGACTATGTTGTAACTTAAACCAAAGCTGTGGCATCTATCTATCATAAACATCCTATCATATTAAAAGTCAGTTTCCAACTAAATATGTTTCTTGAGACAGAAATCTAAAAATTATACATAAATAGGGCTATTTGCTTTTTCAAAATCTATCATCCAAGGCAGAAAACCAAGAGGTATTCTTTTGTTACCTGGATGACTTCATGTATTTGCAGAACCAAGGCAAATAGAAAGGCCACAGAATTTTCTATTTACTTTTAGTTTGGAAAAGGGGATCAAGGAAGGGCATAGCAAAGAGCATAGCAGGAAGCCTTCTGTTTTCCCTCAGTTCTTTGATGCTCTCTAGAGAGGTCATGGGCTCCCAGACCCAGAACTGTGTCCCTACACATAGAGTCAGATGACAACAGACAAATGAAGCTGGAAATATCAGGAATTAAAATTGCATGTAGGAGAAAGGAAAAAAGGGAGATACAAAAGCTACTCCTTTTCCTAACTCAAGTTGCTGATCCCCATCAATAAGCCTTGATGCTGGTCAGTTATCCAGAAGTCTTTGTTTCTCTTGCAACAATTGATCCCTCCCCAAAGGCCCTCCTAGAATGGTTTGTTACAAGGCCTGCCAACAAGAACCGCAAAGACTGAGCCTTCTGAAGCTATACTGTGTCCTATAAAAAATCGTGCCACATCTTCTGTGCTCTAATACCTGTTCTACATCCGGGAATCTTTCAGGTGTTTTGTGTCTGGTACTTCCTAAAACAAAACAAAACAAAACAAAACAAAACAAAACAAAAACAAAACAAAAACAAAAACAGAACCAAAAAAACCCTACTAACTACTCCACTGAACTCAATGACTCTGCCCAAAGAACTATTTTCATTGTGTAATACATAGTTGAGATATTTATATTCTTAGTTCAATAGATTTACAAACCTCTCAAGTGATAGGCAAAAGATGGCAGTTAAATACTAAAGATGCAAACTCTAACTGATTTTGATTGATATAAGGAAAAAACACAGACTGATCAACTCTGCACTGTGGAATTTAGCAACCTGATACCCTAAATGAAATCATATCCCTCTTAGATAAAAATCACTAGCCAAATCCAATTCTTCTACAAATTTCTTTTTCCAAATTAAGAGGATGGGAGAAAAGTTGGGAGGAGAAAATTCATTTAAAAAACAATTTAGAAAAAAACACACCAGAATTGTTATGAACAATAGAACTATATGTTTGAGAAGGTTTTTGTTTTTTTTAATGAGAAATATCTATCCTCAAATGTATAGGTCAGTGGTTCTCAACCTTGGCTGCACATTAGAATCACCTGGGAATCTTTTTCAAATCCTGATTTCTGGGCCTCATCCTCTGGAAATTCTGTTTCTTTGTTACTAATGTTGTGGCCCCACCCCATAACAAAGAAACAGAATTTTTGAGAACCACTGGTATAGGTGATCTTGCTAGCGTGAGGGAAGAAAGAGCAAGCATCATTTATTTTTCCTTCCAATATCTAAAAGGATCTTGCTAGCGTGAGGGAAGAAAGAGCAAGCATCATTTATTTTTCCTTCCAATATCTAAAAGGAGCTAATAAGAGAGAAGAGCTTATAGTTAAGCAATAACTATGTTTTCTGCCTCCTACGAATGGACTGGAGCAGTCTTGAGAGATGGCTTTTCCCCAGTAGCAATGGCACATGTCTATTTGTGCCAATAATGCCACCCTATGCACTGGCACCCATATGTGGTAATGTGCCCAGAAAAGGCACATCAAAGCTTATTTGGTGAATTCAGCCCTATTTTGGACATGGCCTTTTCACTCTCTGCCACTGCATCTGGGGAGACTGGATATCTGGAGTTCTACTTCAGAATGGACCACCATTACCAATTATTCGTAATTGGGGCAGGAAAGAGAGGAATTGGGGGGAGGGCTATGATACAAATCACTTTCACTTATGTTCTCTCTCCCTTACACACACACACACACACACACACACACACACACACACAGTGCACACCTTTTATGTTCTAGACTTTTCTTTTCTGAGATTCCCTTTGAGAGTTGTTTGCTGCTATCTGGTTTCGCTGCCTCTTTTCTTCGGTAAGGCCCATAGAGGAGCTGATTCAGTGGCACCATTGGCTTGGTCTGGTTCATCCTGGCTCTTCTCGCAGCAAAGTCATCTTTCTCAAGGTCAGGCAGTCGACATGCAATTTCATCTTTTGACTCTAAAACTTTGCCATGTCGGTGGGTCAGGATAGGGTTTTCTTCCCGAAGGACAATATCGCGAATCACTTCTTTCTCATCGTTTAATTGCTTTTGACTGATAGAGCAAGATTAAATAGAACTCCACATGTGATCAGACAGAAATATTTTTTAAATCCCCATCTCCACACAGGCAACTGTGCTGTTAGTGAAACGTCTTCTCAATATCATTAGTTCAGATGACATCTGTTTGCCATTTTAGTCCAGAGTTGCATCATAGTTAGTGTGGGTTTTAAAGCCTTGAATTTAGCCAGCTACTAGCAATACTAAAAACTCATTGCATTTACAGAGTCCATCAACATTGGAAAGGCAGGATCCTAAATGGCTCTCAAAGTGACAATCCCAATTCTTTCCATTAAGTTTGAAAGAGTAGGAAGCTTTTTGCTCTTGTTCATTTTTCTTTAGTACTTTAGTACTAGACCCAATAGGTACTCAAATTGTTGTTGACGAACAGGGCAAAAACTTGAGCCACCAAGACACTGATCTGGGGGAAAACTAATGAATGCAGCCACATGATAGCACACTTAGAGTGTGTACCAGACTGCAAGGCTAAGGTAGGTCAGTCATCCTGCTGAGCTGAACTAACCTGAAACATCTGGAAATGTTTATGGCCATTCACAGGATGGACCCAAGGCATAGAAGACTACTCTGCCCTGTACCCTTCCATCAGCAACCCTTTCTTACAACTTCTACCCACACAATTCTCCGCCACCCAGCTCTTTGTCAAATGCTAGATGTCAAGTAAGACATTTTGATACAATGGCTTAAACATGATTACCTTGGGCTATCTTTTCAAAAAAATCTTGAAGGCCCCAAACTTCAAATTCCTAAAGGAATGTAGTTTAATGGTAGAATATCAGGACTTTTCTACTTTATTTTGTTTTTTTTTGTTATTGTTGGCGGTGCGTGGGATGGGAATACAATTGATTGTGCCTATCTGGTATTCATACAAACACTTCTCCCCCTACTCATAAGGTCAACCTTGTTTCTAAGTATTAATGCTTGTTAAAACCTTAAAAAAACATTTACCTGATGGTCATAAAGATGAAAATAAATAAAATATTTTGACTTCTAAAGCAAGTTCACCTACTTTGTATTTGATTTCTGAGAGAGGATTAAGAGTAAATTCTTCATCCTCAAAGGACAACTCATCTCAGAAATGAAGACAGGAGTAATTAGCCTGGCTAAGAGTAAAATGAGTAACCAAACTCTGTGTTCTCTGGTCAACTAGGTGTCCCCCCCACCCCCAAACCCTGCCCCCTCCATCTGTTGCTCCGCCCACACTGCTCCAGAGGAGGTCATCATCTTAAGACCACAGCAGGCCCTCACTCCCTCTGACTTGTGGAAATTAAATCATCATCAATCGTGCCCAGAACACTCCTTCTCTCTGCTGATCATCGTTCTCAATAAAATCTTAAAACATGTTCTTTGGAGGTGGTTGGTGGCACTTTGCTCCCTGAACAATTTTATTTCGTGAACTATGAAACTCTGCCCTGTGAGTTGCACATCTGACTCACAGTATCACACCTGCGCACCCCTGGACTGAGCCCACGCTCCTTCCTGCCTCCTTTGCCAACGTGTCTGTCAAGTACCAGCAGGTGTTGGCTGACTGTGGCTGTAAAGAATGGTCAGTGGGAAAATGACAGGCTATTGAATCAATCTCTTCAAAAAGGCATTACTTAAGAAAGCATACTGATGAAGGCAAAGGCGGCAGCTAACAGTTATTGAAGGCACACTATGTGTTAGAATTTTTTCTAAGTGATAATTCATCAAACCCGACTACTAACTCTGCCATGTTAGTGTTATTAGCATCCCCATTTTATAGAGTAAAAACTCAGAGTGGGTTAAGAAATTTGCCCAAGGTCAAAGCGCCAGTGCTTAAGTTAAAATTCAAACCCGGCAGCCTGGCTCCAGGGGTCCTCCTCTTAACCACTGTGCTGTTCATTAAACAAAGGACCAGGGCAGAAACAGTACGGAAAGCAGAGCATCACACAAAAATGAAGGCATTATCATTACTATGGGAAGAGAAGAAAGGGAAGTATTTTAGTTCCTAAATAAAAGGATCCTGTGAGCCCTGTTTAGAATGGCATTTTGATTTGCATTGCTGGTTACAGAGAGCAACGTTCAGCCAGGATGAATGAAAGTAGAATGCTAACTAGTCATACGTTACAATGCTTGCACAGCACTTTACCACGTACAGGCCCTTCCACACCCATTATCTCATCTCCGCTGATCCAACTGCCGTTCCAGTGTGGCAGCAGACCCCTGGCTTGAACCTCTCAAGGCCAAGAGTAACATTCTTTGTATTTTATGTTTCTATCTCTCCCAACTCAGGCAGAATGCTTTGGAATAAAACCTATGAATTTATGCAAAAGGCCGTGCCAATTTGTGATGCCAATTGAAGCAGAGAGAATCTGGTGCCTTTTGCATCATGTGAGCCCAGCCAGACTACAAACTCCCTGGGGTGTTTCTTTTTAGGCTAAACGCCCAGCGTGGCAGGGATCCCTCCAAGTGATCTCAGTTGAGATACGTGGACTTAAAAAAAGGGGGTGAAGAACGATTTCCGTATCATTGGCCACTTAAAGCCACCCCCTGCCTGCTGAAAAACTGGTCACAATGACTGATTTTCCACTAATTGCTTGAATTTGTAAATTCAGAGCTTCAAGGCAGATCAGAGCAAGAAAAAAAATATGAACACAAATTCTGGTCTGGCACTGTTGGACATATGCTCAGGTAGATGTGTAAAACTGTGTTCATTACATCTAGTTACCGAGATGTTTAAATGAGTTTTTATAAGCTTTTCTTTTCCCCCTGAAGGACCTTGGGGCAGTCTATTGTGAGGTTTCAGTACAATCTACTTTATTTTTCAATAATGACAACTCTCTGGACAGCTAATACCTTGCAGACATACTAACTTTCATGACAACAAAATGCAAGATGGGAATTCTGATGCCCACTCTGCAGAGGAGAGTGTTGAGATTTCTGTCTAGCCGCCTGGACTTGGGTAAATTAAGTCAAATTAAGGGGCCGACCCAGGCTGTCTGGCTTGATATTCTTGGGGAGGTCTGGCACTTTTGCTTTTTTTTTCTAAGTCATTCACAGATGAGTTGCTCTGGGAAGAAGGGGTTGCCCTGCGGGCACAGCTCACTGCTTCCCTTAGAAAGAACACCGTCCAGCGTGAAATGAGAAATGCCAAGCCCTGCCTCCAGCCGGGCAACCCTGTCCAGCTTCATCTAAAACCAGTAAGACTATCTTTGTAGCAGGGATTATGGGCTCTAAGCAGGTGAGTGGGGAGAGAAGGTTCTTGTCTCCAAGGCTTATATATTTCAAAGTGAACGAGATAATGCTTTAATGCTTTAAACGAAGCAAGGGCTGGCATTTTCTTTCACTCCCCTTTACTTGGCAACACACAAGCAACCAACTCAGATTGGCAGTCGGTTCGTTTATTCAAAGAAACTGGGCTCTCCAGAAAAGCCTGTTAGGCCTCCTGGGAATGTCATGGGCAACACCAATGACATCCCTGTTTCACCCAGTGTCCAAACAGGGCAGCGGCATCCAGAGTCACCAGAGTTCATGCAAGTTCCGTGTCTGCCTGGCCCCTGATCCCCAGGGTCTGTTAGGCAAGTCAGGGCCCCGGGCATCTGGCACTCAGCTGCATCTGCTCTTCCTCTGCAAACTTCTAAACGGCTATTGTTCCTCAGAGGGATCCCCCCCCCGCCCCCGCCCCGTAATTAATTACTATGTGGTTGCGAAGATCCACAGACCAGCAGAAAACATCGAGTGCTGAAACATATGAAAACAATTAGAAAAGCAGCACAATCACGTGAAACCTATAATTCAGCTCAAGAAAAGTTTACGTCTCCAATGGGAAACACCACGGCGGAGACCTCAAATCTCCGCAGTGTTTTAATTCAGGGGAAGTGAATCTTGGTGCTTATTTTATCCCCTTAAAAACAGAAATCTTGGCTTCTTCGGCAGAGTCTCAGATTTGGGGGGTAATTAAGCTAACGGAATCATAAACTCAAAGGGAAGAAAAAGTGGCTTCTGTACTTTTGACTTCAATGGCAACATGAACGAAGATTTAACTCCACCCATTCATTAAGAAGGCCCACTTTCTGTCCCTTGATGCTAAGATACCTAACATATTGTTTGACAGGAGGCTTGGGACTCCCAGGCTTCTAAACTCATGTGAAAATGGAATACCAGGCACCTCTACTCCTGTCTACATATTGTGTTAAAAAATAATACAAGGAGGTGTTTGAGACAGAGTGACATCAACAGGAAAAAGAGTCTGAAAGGTGAAGCCTTGTTCTTCGTCTACACACCTCCTTCCCTTGCTCATGCCTCGAGTCTACACTCTCACCCACCTCTGCAAACACAGACTTTTCCAGCTAAGAGAAAAGCAGGACCTTGAATGCGGGTGAACTTAGAATGACTCTCAGTTCTGTTGTGGGCTTCCATAAGCAAGTGACAGAGTCACAGACGTGTCAGGCTAGTGGCAGGGTATATATGAAACCTTTATGAGAGAGCTAGCAGCTGGAAGTCTGTCTAAGCAGTGAATTCTGGTGTTTGGAGCAGCTGTGTCACACTACTATTGGGGACATTCTCCTGGAATATCCATAATTTTCCTGGGCCCAATTTTAAATGTTAAAGCTTAAAATCTACCGTGTGATGACATTAACTGACCTGCAAAAGCCCATTTAATAGAGCTAAGTTGGACAAAGTATGTAAACAGTAATCCAGATAACAGGAAACGTGGACAGGAGTAAGAATTACCACATAAATATAATTTTCATTATGCAGAATTATGTTTGTAAATTAACCATGATTTTAGGTTTGTACACAGATGCATGTTGTCATAAAATATTTCAATGTTTTATTAGAAAATAAAGCTCCCAGTTACTGAAGTGGCCCAGCACACTCATGGAATTTCCAGCCTTTGCAAAAGATCTCCTTTCCCTGCATCACCATGATCCCTGGGCATGCTGAGATAGCTTACTGTAGCTCCCTACCCATCCCCCTTTGCTCTTTTGAATACTCTAAAGATGATACAAAGAATTCTCAAAAAAAATTAAAAATAGAACTACCATATGACCCAGCAATCCCATTTCTGGGTATTTATCTAAAAGAATTAAATCAGGATCCCAAAGAGATGCCTGCACTCCCAAGTTCATTGCAGCATTATGCACAATAGCCAAGATATAGAAACAATCTAAGGGCCCACCAAGGACAGATGAATGAATAAAGAAAATGTGGCATATACATACAATGGAATATTACTTAGCCTTTAAAAAGAAGGAAATTCTGCACAACATGGATGAACCTCAAGGACATTATGCTAAGTGAATAAGCTAGTCACAGAAGAAAAATATTTGCATGATTCCTTTTATGAGAAGTACCTAAGGGTCAAATAGATAGAATCAAAGAGTGGAAGGATGGCTGCCAGGGGTTGGGGAGAGGGGGAAATGGGTAGTTGCTAATCATTGGGCATAATGTTTTAGTTAAGCAGGAAGAATAAATTCTAGCGATCTGGTGTACAGCATTGTATCTATAAGTAACGATACTGCATTGTATACTTAAAAGTTTTTTCAGAGGGGAGATCTCATGCTAAGTGTTCTTATCACAATAAAGTAAAAAAATTTTAAAAAGGGAAAATAATGGCAAAGGATATGAAATAATTTATGGAAGAAGAAATCTCAGTGGCCAATACACACAATATGATTGTCAACCATATTAGTAATCATGGAACAATCAATTTTTAAAGATAAGATTTTTTTTAAACCAAGAGAGTGGCAATTTTTTAAAAATGAGAAAAAAATAAAGATGATGGTGTCTTTGGCTACATTTTAGCTTAAAGACTTCACAGATGTTATAAAAAATGAAGGTATGTGTCAAGGACATTAAGATTAAAATTAAAAAAAATTCCTCCTCTCACCTCAATCACATATATTTACTCTCAGTGGGCCTTAGATTTGAAGACAGAAACAGGAACAATCTGAAAAATGGTGTTTAGGAAGGGGATACTATTCATTTTTCTATTCTCAGCAACCAGCCTTCTTTCTCATACAAGTAGATGCTAAAATTATGTTGAAAAAAGTATGTATCTGACAAGTTCTGAGCCAACATTTGTTTTTAAGATTTTACATCATTACTCTTTATCATTCAGAAACCCAGAGAGCTGCTTTTCACACAAGCGTAATTCTGTGTTAGAGTTTTCTAGAAGCACATACATGTTTAGGATAGACACACTTTTTGTGGAATGCCAGACAGGGAGAAATATAGCCTTGATTACTCTGGAATGAAATCCATAGACGTCAATGCTGGAACTTTCAATTAAGACTTAGACCATGGCAATGAGCACATACGGAATTGTATTGAGAAATGAAAACTGTTCCATTAAATGTATGGGCGGCAGATGTGGTACTGTGGTCAGAGCCTCTGAATCTGGCCACCAGGTCAGCAGTAACCAGCTGGGAAGTCACTTACTATCACGGATCCTCAGTTTACTCTTCCTGAAAATGGGCATGTTACCTACCTCTTAGGATTAAATGGACTGGCAAGTAGCAAAGTATTTTCAATTGCCAAACTGTTACGAATTTCAATTTGTCAAATAAATTTGGGTCTCTCTATTATTTGTTAGGATACTTGTGGTTATTATATGAGAAAAATTCTACCAGCTTCCCAAAACACTACATAAAACTGTGGAACTCCAGTTTTGTGTGCCTTTGTGAAAATCTCCATCTCACATGTAATATGAAGCCATGACGACGGTAACTGGTGCCTTTGTTACAATTAAGAGAAGTAATTACTCCCTTCTTTGTTTCTGAACCAACATGCTTTAGAAAAGGAGTCAAAAAACTCAGTCTTTCTTACTGCTCCCTTGGGACAAAGGAAGTAAGTGGATTTTTGTAAGCCAGCCACCCTTTCTAAAGAGAGTGTTCCCGTTTCAAAGGAGCTATTTTCTAGTGATGTGTAGAGTAAGATAAGAGCCATTTAGGAGTAGTGTGAAAATTAACAGGCCATAAACCATTGAAAAAATAAAATGTTATTGCCAGGGAAGTCCCGCAGCCCACACATGACTGACTACAGTAGGACCAGGTCTAATCAAGCAGCAAGAAGCTCACTCTTCACCTCCACTTCAAAGAGCCAGCTACTGTAAGCAGAGGCACGCCGAGGGCAGGGACTATTAGCTATTTCCAGTTGCTCCGAGTAGGGCGCAGTGATACCACTGAAAAGCGGAAGTGGGGAAACAGGCTGGAAACTGCAACACACCAGACAGATTCCAAGGAAACTGCAACACACCAGACAGATTCCAAACCCCCAGGCATGCACCACGCCCGCCACGCCCGCCACGCCCGCCAGGCCAGCCAGGCCAGCCCACGGCCTGCAGAGCTGACCTGGCGAAGCGCTGTGCTGCTGGCAAGACCTTGATCCCAGCTTGCTCTAGCCTCCTGCGCTTTTGGATTTCAGCAGCATCTTTTTCTTCAGACTCCTCTGGGGGACGCTGCTCCTTATGACGGCCAGTGGGTAATTCTAACCCACCATCTGAAGGCTTCCCATCAGGGTCCATCTGGCCAGCTGGGTCCTCTTCCCAAGGAGACCCCACTTCACTTCCCTCTTCCTCTATTGTTTCGGGGTAGCTAGTGAGTTGGACAATATGGTTTACACCAAACGAACAGACTGGCCTGGGGAGCAGACCACATGTCGTCGCCTAGTCATTCGCATACTACTTCCCACTTTAAAAAAAAGTCATCGCATGCAGTACAATCCTGGCAATGTGACAAAAATTAAATGTAGTCATTTATAAATTAATGCAATGCACCGTAATCTCAATATTGATTAAGAGCTATTTCAAACTTGATCTTGAGTGGCAAAAACCCTTTCTGCTGGAAAGGTAACATTTATGCTTTGTCCAATAATTAAAACTTTTTAATAAAATGCTGGTTCAGTGGAAAATCATAGATAATAAAGGTAGACTATTAGAAATAACCATGCAATGATCAGGGTGGTTTTGCTGAAAGTATTGGAATGGACTGTGAGTTTCTTTTGTTGGACTATAAGGTTCTTGAAGGCATGGACTCTATTTTATTTACTATTGGGTCCCCAATGCCTAAAGGCAGTACCTTGTATGTAGTAGATGCTCAATAAATACTTGCCGAATAAATGAAAGGATGAAAACATAATCAGAGGTTAGGAAAAACACTGTTCCTTTAAAGAGGTGAGCAGTTCAATGTATCTTCCAATAAACAGGAGTTTCTACATGTGATTCTGAAGCATGTTCCATGAACCCCTTACATACTTAAGCTTAATCTAGATAAGCATGCATCTCAATAAAAAATTCTTTTTGCATAAGAATAAGTCTTTCTGCACCTAATCTACCAGAGTGGCAGTCATTCGGTCTCCACAAAAGGACATGGATAACAGATCTGTTCTCAACGTTCAGTCAACAGGACCCGTTTTTACAAATCTGCTGTCAGACAAGTATTTGTTGTACACCTACTGTGTGCCAGGCACTGTTCTAGGTACCTTCATGAAGCTTATATTCTATTATCACAGTCTCTCTCCAAACATCTGTCCTGCCCACCTCCATGTGTAATCTCATCCATGTTTGGAAACAGTTATTTGAGCTTATTGGTGTCCAGGGGCTTCGGACCCCACACCACTCAGTGTTCAAGCAGGGCCTTACCTGAAGGGCCTCTCCCCACCCAGCGGGGAGGTGGCGGTGCTCCAGCTCTTCCGATACTCCTCTCGCTCTGCTCTCTTCTTTCTCAGAGGAGCGGGGACATAGGCCGTCTGGTTGCTTTTGTTCGGGAGGTACTGGTTAAAAGGCACTGCTGATTTCGGCTCACCGTGAGAAGTCCGCCTGGCAGACATGTCATCCTTCTTCACGTCCGGCAGCTTCCGATGTGGCAGGTCTGATTCGGAGTCACTTCCTCTCCCTGGGAAGAGAGGATGGGTGCTGAGGCGTGTGCCCGGCCAGCAGTGACGTTCCCGACGGCAAGCACGCAGTATTAGGGATGTGGTTACATCTGCAGGTTCCGGGGAATCCTTCCTTCAATAATTCACTTAACAAACCTAAAGTATCAGTCTAAATGAGTCTACTGTGGGAAAAGCTCTCAACTTTAATCAGGGGGGAAAAACCCTTCAAATTAAAAAAAACATCAAGGTAAAGAAACAGACACATAGATACAGAGAACAGACTGACAGCTGTTGGAGGGGTGGGGGGTTGAGGAGATAGTGAAAAAAAGGTGCAGGGATTAAGCAAAAACAAAATCAAACACCCCCCCTCCCCCGCAAAACAAACAAACAAAAAACTCATAGAAACAGACAACAGTACAGTGATTACCAGGGGAAAGGGGGGTGGGGGGAGGTAGGAGACAGTAAAGGGAGGATAAACAGTGATGGAAGGAGGCAACTTTGGGTGGTAAACATACTATGCAATATACAGATGATGCATTACAGAATGTACACTTGAAACCTACATAATTTTATTAACCAATGTCTCCCCAATACATTCAATAAAAATTTAAAAAATAGAGGTAAGACTAACTATATCTGAGAATTACAATTAGCAACCCATTTACAATAGCTCAGATTCTGCACCTCTCAAAAGAAAAACGAAATTAAGGAATGGAGTGTTTCCTGAGCACCTGTTGTCCCATGTCTTACACTGTGCTAGATATTACACTGTGCTAGATATTCTGACAAATAAGAATTATAAAGCATTTTGTCTTTGAGGTACTTTTAACCAAGCCACTTAACACTGGGAGAATATTAGTTATAATTCAGGAGCATAGACATGTAGGAACAATCAGAATTCAGAAAAGTGGCTGATGTGGATTATAACCAAGGGTTTGCCTTCCAGGAAGTGGTTGGAGTTATAATAAATGCATATTCCTCTATATCAGTGGTTCTCAACCTTCTGGCCCTTTAAATACAGTTCCTCATGTTGTGACCCAACCATAAAATTACTTTCGTTGCTACTTCATAACTGTAATGTTGCTACTGTTATGAATCGTAATGTAAAAATCTGATATGCAGGATGGTCTTAGGCGACCCCTGTGAAAGGGTTGTTC